GAGAAAGTTTGAAGGATCTTCAAGGTCCAACGAGAAGAGAAAATTCTCGAAGTCTGTTTCGAAGAAGTTCAGAGGAGGAGGAGGTGAAGCAAGATGGTGCGATAAGTGCAAGAAGAAAGACTTTGGAAAATTTGGCGAGGAGGTAACATGTTTCAAGTGTGGAAAGTCTGGGCATTACGCCAATTAGTGCACATTCAACAAGAAGGTGTGTTACGGATGTAACGAAGGAAGGCATATTTCTACGGACTGCACGAAGAAAAATAGACCAGCAAGGCCAAACGTATCGCAAAAGCCAAAGGCAAGAGCATTCTATATGATCCTCGACGAAGCAAGTGACAACGCAAAGAATCAGGAGTGAGGACTTTATATACAAAGATCAAGATATGAAGTAGCCATGCAGATAGTATCATGGTGTGTAGCCTATTAGAGGCATAGTATAGGTTGACCTTGAACATCTATGTAATCGTTTCAAGAAATAATATAAAGCTTGGTTATGTTATCTGATGTGTTAAATGACTATGTGAAATTCTTGTATGGTGACTTGGAAAACTAGGAGACAATACTTGGGACGAGTATGAGTGGGTGTGAAAGGTAGTAGAGGCCTATACTACCGGAAGCACATGACTCGCACTTGTATCAGGGAAAGTCGCGAGGTTGCCAAGGAGCTAGAAATTTATTTTGTTTTATTCATGTATGTCGTTACCATCGTTTCGGTAGTGACTAAGAAGATGATTGTTATTCCGACCCTAGTGGTCATATCAAATCGAGTCCGACTAAGACGAGTATGTTATGTGGTTCAGAGAACCAAGATTGATTTAGCATCTTGTTGGATTAGGTGTCTAAGCCCGTAACTATTTTGGTATGTACTTGACCTGATTATGAGCATGGTCCTTTTGGGTTGCCTTCACTCATGCAACTTGATAGGATGACAAGAGGAGAGAGAGTGGAATTTATTATATGAATAATAAATTTGTAATCAAAATTGTTTAATTAATATATTACAAGATTAATATATTATTTGGAAATCATATTATTTAATTAGTATTGATTGGAAATTAATTTGGAATTAATTTGGTAATCAAAAGAGACTAATTAAATAAAGGGGACTGATATTGCAATTATCTGATAGTTGCTAGTTGGGCTATGGATTCCTAATAGAAAGGGATTGGACGAAATCTATGGAGAGTCCAAGAAGATTTCGTCCAAGGGCTTTCTAGATGGGCTCCATGGATTGCTTAGGGCCTAAGCAGAGAATTAGGGTTTCCAGCTGAAACCCTAGCAGCCCAAACAACAATAAATAAATCCTCATACACGAGAATTTTGGCCGATGTGTTTTAGAAGGAACCCTAGTCGATTTCCTCCCCTCTCCTAATTCATCTTGTTGCCAGAGTGTTTGTGATTCCATTAGAGGTGCAACATTTGAGGCAATAAGCTTTCAAAGGTCAAGGAGTTCTTGTTATTACTACATAACAAGTTGAGCTAATCATTCTAACTTGTTTATTATGTCTATTTCGAAATAAGCATGCTAGATTAGAGTTTATTGCTTTGGTATTCAATGTTGTATGTTCAAATTAGAAAACCTAGATCAAAGCAATTAGGGTTGCATGAACACCATAGGAATGATGTTATGCCGATAACCCAACACATCTGACTTAATCCAGAAGGTCGAAATGAAAGATAATCGAAGCGATCAATAGAATTATTGTGATCGTTGTTAAAGTAAAAAAACTCGTAGCTAGAAGTGTTTCATGCGAGAATGTGATTATATCACAGTAGAACATGAATGAAGGTATATTCCATTATGGAAATTGACTCTAAAAGACCTGAGTCTAAGCGTTGCATCATACGATGAGAGGTCATTAGAACATGACCCATCGGTCTATTATTGTAATCGAATGAAATAGCTTATCTTAAGTTTGTTAAGGAGAAGAAGGAGTCTCCAATAAGGATTGATTTTGTAACTCGAATGTTATAATTGAAAGTCCAACATAGTACGAAGAGCAGATTCAAGATTGAGCATGGCCATCAGTCAAGAAGTCCAAGAGTTAGATACTAATTTGAAAGAAATAAGAGTTATGGTTATTACCTAGGATGAAAAGATAACGTACGGAGTCATTATACAAGCCTTGTTTTGTTGATGATTCTGGGACGTAATCTAAGGGGGAGATAATTGTAAGACCCGCAAATTCGGGCTAGTCAATTTAGAGATAATAAGCGTCAAAAATGACTTTTTCATAGAAGATTATTTAGAATAAATAATCTTAACAAGTTATAGTAAATGTCACAAGGTTTCCGTACATATAAAGAACGCTGAAATCCGAGTTATAACGAAGAAGTTATGACCTGTCGAAGTTTCGCGACAAAACCGACACGACGTTGTGTGATGTAAAAAGTGAGTTTGCGATAAATTACTTTTTATCCTTAGCGATCTAAACGAAGGTCATAGTATAAGTTAAACCGAGAGCGTGCATAAAAAGAACGTCCAAATATGACTTCGTATGAGGAAGTTATGATTTTTCCAATATTTAGCATAACAGTGCACAGCCCGGAATTCGAATTTTAGATCGAACGATTTTTAGCCGACACAATCTAAACGAGAATTGAAGATCTCATTAATAAGAGCTCGACGATAAAAAGACAGATCAAAACGGACGTCGGATGACAAAGTTATGAATTTTTAACGGACTTTACCTGTCCAGCCTGTTAAAATATAACTTTCAAAATAAAGTCAAAATTAGCCGACAGAGTTTAAATAAAAGTGTTAGAGTACATCGCCACCTACGCGTGGATATAAAGAATGTCGAAATTGGAGCATGTATACGAAAGTTACGAAATTTAGAACTCGGAAGGGTGCTGATGCAATAAATATTGTTTAACACTTATAAAACAATATCGTTCGTAAATAGTCGCAATAAATATTAGACTAAAATCTAGCCGTAATGATACTAGGTTTTGTCGAAGGAAAATAGAATTATGAGAAGTTAAGCGCTGCCTGAGTTGGAAATCATCACTTTAACAAGTGAGTGCATAGTTACTTTCATCTTACACATAGATATGAAGTATTTAATATAAATTACGTGCTATGTGTGCATATTATCTATGTCCTTGATATCTATGTTGGATGAACAATATATATATATATATATATATATATATATATATATATATATATATATATATATATATCTTACTATATTATTATACAAACCTTAGTATTTCTAAAAATAGATTTAAGACGTTCAAACCATTAAGCTAACAGTACAAATTTCTTATGCATTATATGAAAGATTTGATTTTTAGTTTGACTCAGCTCATTATCTTTTCCTCATTTATCTCTCCTTTTGACTTGGTAATTGAACAATCGTATGTAATCCCATTTAATTCGCCTAAATACAAGCTCAAAAGGCAGAGTGCCAGTCTCGTATCCTTCATCCCTCTCTCTCTTGGTAAGCAGTCCCTCTCACTTTTTCAAAACCCTAGCTAGAAACAAAGAGGCAGCCGATGATTCTTCCTGGAAACAACACCTTGATGTAATGATTATGGCTAAAAGAGGTTAAAATCAACTTTGCAATCGTAGTATCGATCTTCGTAGGCATCAATATTTCTTCCATCGCAGATACATCTTTGTTCCCTCCCCTGCTATAAATCTCACCGTCCAAGAACAGAAGATGACTTCATCTCCCATCTTCCACTATGCCCAATTTCTCAGGGTACTCTTTTTATCCATCTTCATCCTTCCCCAAATGATTTTCGATAGCAATGATGTCAGACCATCACGACCTTCTCCCTTTTTCAGGTTATATTCATATTCTCTTGATTCTGTCATCATCTGATGTCAGGTCGCTTCTGCATCTCTTTCCATATTCGTATTCACCAACATACAGGTAACATGTTATTTCAAATGGTCTAACATTTCACTGACCCTCTTAGTTTTCATCTTTATTTTTTTTATTTCAGGGTATGTGATCCATAGAGAAGGTAATTCTTCTCTCTTTCGACAATTAAAGTTTCATTTTTTGTTTAGTTGCATAAATCTTTGATTTTGATGTAGATTTGATCTGATATCATATGTGTGTGCGTGTTTCTTGAAGTTGTTTGGATATCTTCTCCAACTTCCCTCTTTTGTTAGTTTTTGTTTCTACACATAAAAAAATAGTACAACTGGCATATTCTTCTCTGTAGATTTTTTTGTTTGTTTGAACAGATGGTTAGGTCAAATATAGACATCACCATCAGCTTCTCCCTTCCCTCATCCATGTAACCCATATTTTGGTTGATAATTTTTTTAAGATACAAAAGTTTTTTTCTCTCTTTTAGGCTTTTTTTTCTTTTCTCATCTTCTTCCTTTTGATGTAAAGCAATCAATTGGGGTTTGGGGTTTTTCCATATAACTGGAAGTCTGGAACCTAAAAAATGGAAGTTGCTAACAGACGTGGATGTTGTTCTAACCTAATAGTAATGTATTTGCAATAATTTAAAACTTGGATAATGGTTATGTTGATATGTGTTATAGGGACTGTGGTTGTTCTAAGGTTTTACGCATTATTCTGATGTTGTTTTCAAAATTATTCTCTTACGGAAGCATAGTCTTGGTAAACTTTCAAAAGATTTCCCTATTTAGTTTATTCTAGACCAAGAATGAAATAATGCTACCTATTTAGGATTTTTTTTTAAAAAGCTTTAAATGCAAGAATTATCAATGTTACTTAATTGATTTGTTTATTAGAGCATCACACCTACATTTCTTCCTTTTAACTGCTTTCTTTTCACATCAGAATGTTTATTTGGTGCAACGCCTCAAGTGAGTTTTTGTTAAGGCTGCTTCAAGAAGATTTCATTGCAGTTTTTGTAAGTTGTATAACTATGAATAAATTTTACAGAATGATACTGTCAAGGAACCCTATATTATATTCCCACAACCATCATTATCACATCCACATCACAATTCTATCCACTGCAACATTCTTCGAAAATGCTTATTTCCTAATAACCACAGATCCATGATTCTAAAACACAAAGCACCCTTGAAACTCACAGCAAGAGAATCCTCCATGAACTCCAGTTATGAACTCTTTAGTGATGAAAACAGTATGGAAGATGATTGGATAGATCAAGGAGAAGGAGATGACTCCATGGATTCACCTTGGGAAGCGGCAATTTTGTACCAAAGAAACCCTTCAGTCTCTCACCTTGAGTATTGCACAACCTTAGAAAGATTAGGATTAGGACTTCTTTCTACTGATGTTTCAAGATCTGGAGCTTCTTTAATGGGATTACGTGTCACAAAGTCAGTGAAGGATTATCCACATGGAACACCTGTCTTGATATCCATGGATGTTACCAGAAAGAAGCACAACTTAAAGCCTGATGGGATCATAGGAACAGTCATAACTCTTGGATGAAACAGGTACAAGCACATAATTTAAATACCTTTCAAAGGACAGGGACATTATATGTAATTGTTTGTTCAAACTTTTTGATTGAAGGTGTGGTGGATCTGCAGCAGATTGTGTGTTCTCTAATTTCTCAATTGTACTAAGTGAAGAGCCAATAGAAGAGCCTGAAACAATAAACATGGGAGTAATTTATGGTCAAAGTAAAGTCAATGGCAGCGAAGAGCAAGAAGAAGATGATTTAGCATCTGTTGACAGAGCTCAAAGGCCACAATTCGATGTGTAAAAGGTTTGTGTCTCAAATGTGGTCAAAATTTGAATACAAGTACGTGTAATTGTAGTCAACAGAGCTCAAAGGCCAAAAGTTATGGGCCTCTTGGAGGCCTAAAAGAGAAAATGCAACAATAGGGAGGTTGAAGATTCTCCCGTTTGAATTTTGCTCTGTTTTTTGGTATTTTGACTTGTCAAGAAATACTATTTTACAAAAAAAAATATTAATGGATATGTAATTTACCGGAGAGTGGGCATTATATTATGTGTATAGAGTCAAATCAAATGTTTTGTGGATAAGAAGACTGTGTGGCAACCTTAAAGCAGTTTGTGTTTGTTTACTCTTTTTGTGTGAATATTAAGCAGTTTGTGTTTGTTTTACTTCTATTCTGCATTACCTAAGATACAACTCAGCCAAAGTATCAAATTTATGAATTTTTTCTAACAATAATAACATGGCCATTGTGGTGTGCTATAAAATTTGAGATGAGAGGGAGGTTAGATGTAGGAAGTGGAGGATAGATAGTATTTTCGTGCTAAACAACTCATCACCACCTTTCTATCACTAAGATGTTAATTTCTTTCTTTCAACACAACTTAGCTTCACCAACTTACCGAATTCACCCTCTCAATTTCAAGATGTCCATCCCAAATTTACCCACCCCAAACCCCACTCCACATGTAATAAATCCAACCAGAATTGGATCCTGAAGCCACAACCTGAACCATCACAACCGGGTAAGAGCCTTAAAATGCCCATAACCAAGCTTGAAATTCAATGAAGGAAGCTGCACGTGTCGTGTCTTAAAATTGAAGATGGATGATTTGGAGATTACTGATCTCCAATGGACATTAGCTACAAAAAAAATCAATTAAGGTAAAGTATTTGTAGTTTTTATTTCTGTGAGTTAATGAAATATTTATAAATTTAATCAATGTTATATTTGAATTTATATTTATTTAATCTATATTATTTATATAAAAAAATTAATAAATTTGGGAGTGATAAAGAAAGCTGACCACAAACATTTGGTAGAGAAGAAGAATGATGTGGCGTTGAAGTGTCCGGAATGACGTGGAATGATATGCTGTAATCACACCCAGTAGCCTAACAAATCTTGTGTAAATGTATTGTGCTTGTGGGTTAGTTTATGAGGGCGCCTTATGGTGGATTTATAAAACCCATGGACTATTACATATATATTGCCGAGATTTATGCACACATGGTAAGGACAGTTCCTTATCCCTATGAGGGTGTTGTCCCTAAACCATGTCCTTTAATTGGTCAGCGGGACCACCGCAAGGGGAGTAACCCCTTTTTTTTGAAACAGGGGAGTAGTCCCTTAACCCTTGCATTTAGCCGTGTTCGATTTCAAACTCACCTTATATGAAATTGTGCATACTGCACTTCCTAACTTATATTAGATTATAGTTTAAATTCATATTTTACTCTAAAGTTAATTCTAATTGCATCAAATGAGCGACATAAATTGACTTTTCCAGAATTAGTTGATTTTATAAGTATTGACTTTTCCAAAATTAGTTGATTTTATAGGTATGAATCAAAATCAATTAACATAAATTTCACAAAGGGATTGGTGGTGCTTACATGGAAATGTTAGCTTAGGCGAAGATGATGCCATATTGTTGATTTTTTGTTTTCCTATAAAGGTGCCTTACTAATTTTCTTTGATTTTCTGATGGAGAGATTGGATGCAGATAACATTCACGATCATGGTATTTACAAGGAGTTAGAGCATAACTAAAAAACTCTTAAATTTTCTCCTGAGATCGTTCATATACTTGGGTATTAAGTTGCTCGTTCATGTACTTAGGTATTAAGTTTATTAGTTTACCTTATGAAAAAAACAAATGGAACCACACAAATATAATCCATCAAGTTATAGACGTTGTCATCTCCATCATATTACAAATATTTAAGTCTAAAGACCTGATATGTCATTATTACAAACATTATGGTACGCAATATAAATATAGGTGGCATGTAATAAGTATTACAAATAGTCATAAAATCACACGAATGTGTTATTTTCTTAACACTTGTAGCTTATACGGGTGGCAAATCATACAATCGTGTCGTGTTTTCTATGATACAACACAATACAACAAGGTTTTGTGTAACACGACATGACACGATGTTGTGTTTTCTGTAAATAACATGAAAACAAATAAATCAAAAAAGACAAATAAGACACTATGAGACAAAGATAGCATAAAATAACAATTAGTTTATTAATTAATAATTAATCATACCTATCACGGCAACACGACAAATAAATGCTAAATTGTGTTGAATTTTGAACACGACACGACATCGTGTTTTTTACAGTAAACACGAACACGACACGGACACTAATTCCAATAACAACTATAAACATTATCTTTTTAACAAAATACATCAACATACTTCTATATTTTATCCAAAATAGCAACATTATCTTAAGGGACATTTCTGGATGACAAATAAACACGGAAACAAAATCGATTCATCAAAAAGTAACTTACGTTCCTTGTAATATAACATGTTTGAAAATAGAAATAACTGTCGCAAAATACTATTCACACCCGTCGCTTAGCGCGGGTAAACGACTAGTGTATATATATATATATATATATATATATATACATATATATATATACATATATATATATATATATACATATATATATATATGTATATATATATATATATATATATATATATATATGTATATATATATACATGATATATTTGATTTAAACTGTATATGTATTTTATACCTATAAAATTATTGGGTGAAGATGGGTAGATGAATGATGAAAGATGAAAGATGATATAGATGAACATTGGCAACTATGGACTTAGTGCCCTATAGATGAACCTTGGCAGCTGCGCCACAACCTGTAGATGTTTTTGAACTACGATGTTCTCTAAACATCCTACTAGATGCGCCTAAAGGATAATATCGACAATTGCGCCTAATAAAGAACATCATAATCCTGGCAGCTGCACCTAAAGGATAATATTGGCAATTGTGCCTAATAGATAACATTGGCAGCTGTTCCATTGGTAGCGATGAACTTTCTGCCTATTCCTTAGGACAATCCTTAGGAATGAATGATAGATGATTCTTAGGGTAGATCCTTAAGAAATAAAGAAGATAATGGGGACGGGTAAGTGGGTTAGTTGTTTGATGATGAAACATAATAACTTTATTATTGTGGGTTGAAAACCCTATCTACTTACTAGTGTAAATGAATGTAAAGACTATTTATGCTTATGTTTCTGTATTGACGATGACAACTAAAGTTTTAATATAAACAAAATACATTTCTTTGGAAATGCTTTGATAATATATTTATCATGTTTTTCTGGGAACAAATTCCGCAATATTATTCTTTAAAAAGGATACTCTAAATTTCAAATAAGCATAAATAAAAAATTTAAAATGACCGTGAATTTGGGGATGTCACAGGCTAGTCCCCTAGAACACATGTAGGTATCTCATTTCATCCAAAACAACACGAAATTGCAGATTTAGTTATAAATTTTTCTAAAATTTAAAAACTCAAAATGAGGATCAATAGATAAATTAAACGCAAAATTTAGTATATAGGTAGTAGAATTGATAGTATATTATGCTTTAGGGATCATTAATTTCATGAAAACTAACACGAATTTGTCGATTCATAAAAACCTCCTAAAACCCTAAAAACTTGGAATTTAGCCCAAATTTTAAGTTAAGATTTAGTATAGGGGTTACCTGAGAGTACAATGATCGAACGAAATGAAGAAATCGAAGAATAGACGCAGGCACATGAAGTGTTCGTCGTGTGTGGGACCCATTCGAAGACAAACCAGAAAGGGGTAAAAGGATTGTTTGAGGAAAAGTTCGAATGAAGCCAAAATTCAACATTAATGCAGATTTTCCGGTGTGCAACGCGCGTATCGTGTGCCCAACATGCATAATGAAGATTTTTAAATTAACCCTTTCCATCCCCAAAAACCATTAAGATACTAGAAATCCTTTAGGAGTTTAATTTAAAGATTGAAGGAAAGGAAGAAGGATTTCCTTAAAGTTGTAGGAAAATTCATTCATAAATTTTATAGGTTGCTAGGGAAGCAACAATAGCATTGAAATAATCAGTAAATTATAGATCGTTAAGAGAGCAACGACGTCTTAATAAGAAAAGAAATGACAAAAGATACCAATAAAGTCTTTAATTTTCAAAGCGATAAGAAGATAGGTTGCTAGGAGAGCAACTGTAGTACCCTAAAAATAAGTGTGAACCCCTTAGGAACACCAAATAACCTTCTTGCCGATGTTTCAAGACAACAACCCTACTATGTTAACCTTGATTGATCCGATCACCATTTAGACCAAGATTCGGCATCAAGTCCATGATGCATTAGGGAATATCAGAGCTAACAAGGAAGAGGGAATCAATTAAGAAGGTAGTCAATTGACAAGAACCTACGAGGATTTTCTCAACAGTAAGCCGAGATCATTCTATGGAGACAAGGGAGTAGATAGTATGATCTATTAGGCGAAAGAGATGGAGAGCAAGTGTTCTAATTAACAAAGAGTCAAGTTTGCAACTTGCATGTTCATGGGAAGAGCTCTACTCTTGTGGAGTATCCAGGTCAAGGCTTTGGGATTAGAAAAAGCCTATGCAACTTCCTGGGAAGAGTTGAAGAAGCAGATGATTAAGGAATTATGTTTCGACAGAGACATGCCAAGTGTCGAGCAGGAACTCAATCATCTAAGCACCAAAGAGTCAGGCTTGGCTTACTATACGGTACGCTTTGAGTACCTAGTCACCAACAAAATGGGTTTGATGATGCCTGATCCTCAATTCTTCCAAGGGGCTTGTACTCTTAGATGGAAACATCAGAGAGTGAAATAATTCCGATGTCAATATCTTTTTTATCTCGGAATCATTTCCTCTCGGAATAAATAGGATCATTTTACGTGTCCTTTTGTCTAACGTCTTCTTCTAGTTTTAAGTTGAACAGCTTTGCTCATTTATTGAAGATTTTGACCAATATAGTTACATTTGTATTTTGTCTTGATCTCG